TTTTTTTCTCACAGTCGGGGGGGGGGGGAAGGGGGAGGGGACCTCTGAATTGCTAAGGCCGCCTCTTCCCACAGTAATAACTCGTTTTTCAACAAACGCCATGAACTTTGCATAATTCTGGTCAAATACAATTGAGCCAAAAATGGGCATTGAACTAAAGAGAAATGCAATAATTTGTAATCGTTCAACAATAAAAAAAACGTGTGTATTTGTGTAGCCACTATGACAATCTGCTGAAAATATCACCTTAAAACCTGATTCACATGATTGCTGTTACATTGTGCCTTAAAATATCACGGGTGTCCATGTAAACATGCTATTATCTGAAAGTGAACACTGAACTCACTCAAGTGACTAGACGTCTGTCTTTCAGACAGTTTGTTTCAGTGAACCGGTTCGCAATACTGATTCGATAGTTTTTAAAACTCTCTAAAGGTGTGGTCACATCGGGTTCATTTGTTCATGCAAATACGCAGCGTTGGCCAACAGAAAACTGCTTGGTTTGAAAGTGACTTCTGTGTTCATGGTTCTCTGACGTTGGTTAATGGTAATATGACATTCAGGTAAACAAACAAAATATTAATTTTTTTGTACCTTTTTTTAATCAATGCTATTTTAAAATTTATTATTTTCATTAAAAAATTTTATGATTTAATTAATTATTAGCTTTTCATTAAACTCACGAACCCCCTGCAGTTCCTTTAGAAACCCCAGTTTGGAAACCTTGACGTAATGTAATTCATGTTGTTAATTACAATGAATGGAATATATTATCTTACTGTTTGTATTTTTATATCAGTATGGTACGATATTGTCCTATTTAAATCAATGTGATCAAAAGTAATCTAAAAGTAATCATAAAGTAGTCTGATTATATTACCTAAAATGTGTAATGCAATGGATTACGTTACTAAATACAATTTTTGTCATGTAATTTGGAATCAGTAACGGACTACAATTTGTAAGTAATCTACCCAGGGTTTCCTCCGAGCAGGCAAGGGAGGCAGTGTCTCCTCAGAATATTGGATGAGAAAAAATATCGTAGTAAAAAAATTTAACAACGGCAATACAGAGTGGTGGAACTATGATGTCACTTTGTAGGCAAAAACCCAGAAGCGAGTTAGCATTTTAGCACTTCCAGTTCCATCGTCCCAGAGTCAATGGGTTTTTTTGAATGGGAGTTTGGTTAAATCCCCTAAAAATAAGGTCCATTGTTCACACAAGCTCAAGATACATTCACGTTTTATTCTACAACATAAAACACACTAGTTACACCCCACTCGTGATTTTTTAAAACTGTTACGTTTCTTAAAAAAGATGGTTGCTAACAAGTTGCTAAATGGGACTACAGGCACTGTCGGAGACATTAAACGTCATCACGCCAAACAGTTTATCAATTTACAGCATATTCCAATTGTAGTATAATTTATAGTACAATTAATTGTAGAATTTTATATTGTTGTTAGACAATGTTTTTTTTTTTTTTACTTTGCCCCGAAATGCAACACAAGTCTTCGGATGGAAGATGCTCGTTTTATCGTTTACTGATACGGAGACGCTGGGTTCGAACCATACGGTAAACTCAGTCATATTACGATTATTCCATGTAAACACCACATTTACTGGCTTAGTCACGGTGAAAGTGAAACTTTAACGATGCATAGTGCTTAAAGCCACGTTAAAATGAAATGTTTTTGGCCACAAGCAGCTGTTAGAAAACATATAGATTGAGGATTTTCTAGAAGCAAGGATAAAATAACATGTTGTGTAACTTACCCACCCTAACAAAGCTTAAATGTGGTACTTTATTCACTAAAATAAGTTTAATCTTACCATATCTAAATAATCGCTCACTCTGCTGTTATTTAATAAATTAAACGCACTAGAATTTTATTGAATAGTACGTGGAGACACGTTTTTAATTAAAATATTCATATTAATCAAAGATGTATTCACTTTTAATGCACATTATTTCGAAGAGTGGATTAAAATTCATATACAGAGTAAATCCTTTTCACTGTTAAAAATAAGTTTGAAAAGTTGTGGTAAGCATGGTGGTGGTGACGCTGAAGGCGAGCGACCATGGAGGTGTAGTTCGTTTATAGCAGGGGTGGGCAAACTTGGCCCTTCCAGGCCACTTTCCTTCAGAGTTTAGCTCCAACCCTAATCAAACACACATGAACCAGCTAATCATTATGGAAAAATCCCATTGGCTTTTTGTCGAGGGAACCAGTGCGATGCTAACAGCTGATCCGCCTACAAAGTGACGTCATAGTTCCCCCACTCTATTACAAAATATAACATTAAAAGTGTATAAATCACTCGTTTTTCTGAAGAAACATTGTCCAACAGCGACACCAGCAGGTAAAGTTACAGCAGGAGTCCGCGTCTCTCTTGCCTCCCCGGAGCCCATTGCTTTTTAAAGGGGTCATATGATGCGAATTCAATTTTTCCTTTCTCTTTGGAGTGTTACAAGCTCTTGGTGCATAAAGAAGATCTGTAAAGTTGCAAAGACTAAAGTCTCAAATCCAAAGAGATATTCTTTATAAAATTTAAGAGTCAACCACGCCTACCTAAAACGGCTCGTTCTAACACGCCCCCACATACCTACGTCACGATCATTTATATAATTATGTCATTGTGTAATTTATGTAATTATGTCATTATAATCCATAATTATGTAATTTATGATGCCGGACAGTATGGTAGGGGCGTAACATTTCCGTCACACGCTTGAGGTGTTCGGCCAATACACCAAATACACTTACAAATAATGTTATTTTTAGCAACATCATATGACCCCTTTAACAGACCCCCTAAAGCGTGCTGTGAGTTTGGTGGGGGGTAATTTAGAATGAATGGGGGAAAAATCACGTGAGAGGAGGCAATGCCTCCATCGCGATATGATTGGTTGAAGGCAAAAGGGGGTCCAACCCGGTACTAGCAAGGTGTACCTAATAAAGTGGCCAGTGAGTGTATATATATATTCAATCTAAAATCTATTAAATTTAATAAATTTGTAGATTAAATTGAATAGATTTCACTTTTATGAAAACATCTGCAATTGTTAAAAGGGTCATATGATGTTGGTAAAAAGAACATTATTTTGTGTATTTGGTGTAATGAAATGTGTTTATGCGGTTTAATGTTTGAGTTGAGTTTTTGTTTAATTTACCCCGTTTTAACCAGCAGGTGCCGCCAGCCTGTGATGTTTCGAACTCTCCGAAACAGTGAATCGTTTTGCGAATCATTTTGGTTCAATTGATTCAGAATTTGAAAAAGCCTAATTTCTCTCATCACTTATGTTCATTCTGATACGTACTAACGATTTTAATGGGGTTTTATTAATTACGTTTTATTAATAAAATCCTATTAAAATAACCATATTCAACTGATTCATTGAAAAGATTCGACTCTCAATTCATTGACGAATCGAACATTTCTAAAACGCACTGTGGGAGCAGGAAGTCCTGCTAAAGCTAAAGTTCGACTGTTTAAAATATCATGTTGTTTTGGTTTACTTATGTTGGCGTTTAAGTGGACTGGACCTGACAGTGTTGTTCTGAATTAAAACTCTGATCAAAATGACTATTATTAATGGATATTTGTGATGGATGTTACCTAACAGAGGTTCGCCACTAACCTGCACCACATCCGCACTTTCTGACTCCATTAGAACGGATTGCACCTTGTAGTCACTGTAAACTGTCCAGTACTTCAGTACTTATTCAGTGCTGTCGCTCTGTGTCAGTACGTTTACGTCTATGTTAGCATAAACATGCGAGTTTCTAAGATTGCGAGGCATAAGTTAGATATGTTACGTAACAAAACGCTTACTTCCTCCAGGAGGCGCTTTGCTGGCTCACAAAGTCTAATTCTTAATTTATCTGCGTTCAAATCTTAAAACGGTTTTTGCGCCTACTGGAGAATTTTCACACCAAAAAGTGTAATCGTTTTAATCTATTAACTGGTACCTGACATACCAAAAAGACAAAATGAAAATCTGATCAAGCTACCTGTACTAAACGATGTTTTGAAAAGCTTTACGATGTAATTATGTTTCACTGTGATTGGTCCAACCTGACCAGCGCGGAGGAAAGTAACATGTACCACGTGACGCCGTTTGCGCTATACTTCGGTATCGTTCTGGAAAAGGTGCGCTTCTCTCTCGGGCTATGTGGCAGGTCCTGTGGATGCCAAAAGCGGTCCTACGTTGCACAAAATCGATACAGGAAGTAGCGACAAGAACGCCGGGCTCTCTCTTGCTTTACAGGAACAGTTTTGTGGCTGAAGAGGGTCGGATGCTCCTCTGTACCAGACTGGCTGCTGTCACTCGAATGCTGCCGTGTGGATCTGATGCGTGACCGTCCACATTTCTTTCTTTTTCTTTGTGAACTGTACTATTCTCTCTCTCTATCTGTCTTTTGTTGCGCCTGCAGCTTTCTGATGCAGCACTTTTTCCTATTAATAGCATCATCGCCTGCTCTGAGTGTAGAAGCGGCACGATTGAATATATCATAATTAAATAATTTACTTCGGAATAATATCAGTGAGACATTTTAATATTCATTGATTTAAAAATACACAGTAAAGAACTGGATATTTGGACCAATCATATAGGCCTACCTGACCAATTAGAGACAACGTATGGGCCAAAGCCACGCCCATTCAATTCAAGCTATTCTAATCACTATTCTATTTGCTTATTCTTTTTCCATGGTTTGACTGAGACGTCTTCGACGCCCTCTTGCGTTACGGAGTGGAAAGAACAGTGCATGCCCGCCCAGACAAGTTCAAGTACTGAGTAATAAATTCACATCCAAACTGTCTTAAACACACCTTTTATTCCTAGAATGTAAATAAATATATTTATTACATTGTGTAAGTAATGTCTACATCAAAATACACCCTTCACAAACCTAAATAATTTATGAAGGTATAAATATTTCAGTACAAAGTCATTAGTTACCAGGTACATGAGCCACATGAAACATCCAGGACAGAGGATGATTTAGAAAGCTAAACAATTCGGAGTTGTATCTGTTGCTTTAAAAGAAATATAGTTGACCAATTATTGAAAATGACACTAGTTCATGTGTTCGAGACAATTTTGGAGACCTACCAGACAGAAGACTCAGTTTTGCAGCCTATGTGGGTCTATGTGCGACTCAACCACTCTGAAACTCTTCGGTCTCCTCTCTTTCCTGTGATTCTGACTGTAGCGTCGTATTTTGTGCTTTGTCTACCCTACCTAGTCTGCGACATCATGGGAAAGAAGTGGCCAGCTATTAACCGGTACAAGATTCAACCCGACAAAATGCCCACAACTGCAATGCTCCTTCACTGCAGTGGAGTAACTCTTTATAATCATGTACTTCTGGTGTTTCCTGCAGCAGTAGCACAGTGGATGTGGAGACCTTCTATTCCCCTGCCTGAACGAGCACCTACATTGCTTGAACTTGCTGGTGGGGTGACTGGAAACCTTCTTCTTTTTGACTTTCAGTATTTTATCTGGCACTTTTTGCACCATAAGATCCGCTGGCTGTATGTGACTTTCCATGCTATCCACCATAATTACGCTGCCCCATTTGCTCTGGCCACACAGTGCCTTAGTGGATGGGAGTTGGTCACGGTGGGCTTCTGGACCACGCTCAACCCCATTCTGCTGAGGTGTCATCTGCTCACCACCTGGATGTTCATGGTGGTCCACGTCTATGTATCAGTGGAAGACCACTGCGGATATGATTTCCCTTGGTCCATGTCTCGTCTGATCCCATTTGGTGTTTATGGAGGTCCGAGCAAGCATGATGTGCACCACCAGAAACCTAATACTAACTTTGCACCTCATTTTAGTCACTGGGATAAACTGTTCGGCACTCATGCTGAGTTTAGTTTTGCTAAAACTCAGTGATGAACATACTTGCATGTAAATGTATATTCAATTTGCATGTTTGGTTGCTTCAGACAGAGCTTAAACAATGCAGAACTTATAACTTCAGTTTTCACTTTGACTTTATTTGTATAGGAACAGTATTAAAAGCATAATTTCAGTGCAAAAAAAGAAAGAAAGAACAGAAAAGAAAATTATGCAAAATTATAATAGTACAGGCTAATTTGCATATCATAAGCACAGGTATAATTAGTAAATTACTAAAAACGAGTACAAATATATTTTTTATCCAGCCCTTCACCATTATGAAAGAATTTAAATCTTGTGTTTATTTTATTTGATTTAAGTTGAGAACCTTTTACAGAGAAAACTCTTCTGGTAACATCATGTCTATTTATTTATTTAGATAACAACTTTAGCTTTATTATATTAGCATTTAAAAACTATACGTTTATGCAGCTTTAAAATGCAAAAGAAAAAAAAACTTTAAAAAACATCAATGTAGTCTATTATCCATAATTTTTAAAGCTTGATTATATAGTGACCTTTTATGATTTATCATTGTAAAAAATATTTTTTCAAAGTTTATTGAAGCATGTTTTACAAGAAAATATTATTTCAGCTTAAAAATTTATTTCTGCTTAAAAATTTCATGTTTAATATAGCGTGTTACTTGCTATTTCTTTGTAATTATTTGTGAAAATTACTAGCAATTTTTAATGAAAATTGTTTCAAAGGAAATCCTACAGCTTTTTTGTGTGTGTGTGTGATTGTGGATTTAATTGTTTGGGTTCAAACCGTGGCACAATATGAAATGTGAGACAAAATCATTGCATACATAACAAGTTGAAATACTATATATATATATATATATTTTTTTTTCTTAAGCTATAAACAGGTGTGGAAAGGAAAATATGTAAATTAAGATATTTCTAATTATTTTAGAAATCTTCTACGTTCCTCCTACATGGTAGAAAGATGCCAAACCAAGCATGGCAAACTCAAAAGCAAATTTTCACAAGAGGAAGATTTTTTTTTTTTTTTAAAGAACGCAGATTTGCATATGCGTGTGAACTCAAAATAGATCGCACTACAGTTGCCTCTCATTTCAAATCCTGATTTATCTCTGTGTTGTTAATATTCTCCCAGATAACACACATACGTCTGCAAGATGTCTATTAAAGATCGCTTCATCTGGAAAGCATCAGTGTACAAACTTCTGATAGACGTCTTTAAGATGTCAGTTTTACATACATTCTAAATCATAAACATCTTAAAGACATCTTCTAAACATCTATTTGACATCTGATAGGAAACGTCCTATAGACGTCTTGCAGATGAGCAAACACTCTAAAAAAATACGTCTGCAGATGTAAATGCAGACGTCAAATAGACGTCTCTGTGATGTACGTGTGCTATCAGGGCTCTGTGTTGTTTTTCAAGACAAAATTGTAATATTTAAACATTTGTTGTTTATTTCATGGAATAGTTTACTTTGAAAACCTGCCTGCACTCTTTAATAAGCTTCAGCCATGTGTTGGGTGTATGCAATGCATGTAGGCTTACCATTGATCTGATTGATTGTGATTATGCAATTCAATGATGTAACAGCAGGTGTCAGTAAAGAGATTACTTAAAACCCTTTAAGCGTAACTATCTTGCATGTGAACTTCTACTTTATATATTTAATAAGTCGATGTTTTGAATAGTAAGAAAATATGTCGTTCTTTGTAGTTACAAAAGATACAAAATAAAGAATAGTTAGTATTTTATGAAGAAAATGTAAGTGGTGCGTGCCGGTGCAAAACTTGTCATGCTTAATGCTTTGCTAAAGCCAGCGCTACTAATAAAAGTCTGTTAATAATATAACGTCATAAAATGTCTGTGTTTCAGTTATTTCCTACATAAACATAATTTCTCTGTCATAATCGAATTATGTGTTGTATTCGCTGTTTCGTGACACTGCGTCAGCTGGCCGCTGTGTGGCGCTGTTCCCGGATCAGACTCAAACACAGCAGTGAATAATATAAAAAAATTGTCTTCTCTCATTGTATGCATCCTTTGTTTAAAATGTTGCTAGAAATTCCAAGAAGAAGTCTTTGGGATTTCAGAGTGATTAAAAAAAAAAACGTAGGCCTAGTTTGTGATATTGTGCTCATTGGGTTCGACTGAACTGGGGCAACAAAGGCAAAGTTTCAAGACCTAAACTGAGTTGTTGGATCTGTAGAAACACTACTCCACCTATCAGCTGGATTTCCTTGTCTTTGTTTGTTTGGTTAATCTCTTTAATCTGGGACTGAATGAAGTTTAAAGTCTCCACCTGACAGATAGAGGTAGTAGTATGACACTATCCTGTTCTTTTTTTAGGATCAGGCTGCTTTATTAAATCTGTGTTTATATCATGAGAGCCTGTGAGCTGTGGTATTCATAGGGGGCTTTATGGTGCAATTGTAAATGGGGAAAACCCTATCATACAATTTTTTTCCTGCAGGTCCCTGCAAATGCCTGGAGGTCCATTTGTGTATTTATTTATTTACTTATCCTGCCTTGTTTCCTTATAGAATTATAATTATGCACATTTCTGTGTGTTGACCTTTAATTCTAGCTGATAGTTTTCTTGTTGGTCAGCATTCCATATCATACGTACCTTTTGAAAGTCAAAGTGACATGAAGTTGTGTTTGGTTCCAAATTCTTATCCTCAGTTGCCTTTATCGTAAATTGCTCATTTGATTCTCTTTCTTTGAAGGTGATGCCATTAAATCAATCCAATAACTGATTTACAGTCACATTTAACTGATGATGAGACTGACATAACTCTTGGTATGAATTCACATCTTATCCACTTTCATGTAACTAACCCTCTTTATTATCTCCTTTTAGGCCGCTGCTGGCATTCTGT